GTGTGTGTGTGTGTGTGTGTGTGTCGTACCCTGGATTTGCAGCTGGTCCAGGTCCAGGTACTTGCTGGGTCGTGGGTTGAAGCCGAGCGCCGCCTCCCTCTCCTTCTCCTGGCGTCGCTGCTGCTCTTCTTCCCTCGCTCTCCTCAGCACCTCCTCCTGCAGCTCGTCCAGCTCGCTGCGGCCCACAGGGGGCGCTGGTCCAACAGACGTAAACCAAATCACCAACAAAGAAAAGACATTTGCTCACAAAACAGAAATCAGTTTCCAATGCCCATAGCACCGTGGAGCCAGTTGCTATGCCAACCAGGGACACAGACCTCATCCGAGACATGAACATAAAACACGTCGGATATTTTTATCTTTTTGTCCGAACAGATGAGAAAGATGATTTGTTCCTCAGGACAATGTTAACGTGCACACACCGAGATGAAACACAAGCTGCGACACATCACGCTAACATGGAGGAGGGGAGTGTATGACCTAGACTGTAGCCAGCCACCAGGGGGCGATCAAAACGCTTTGGCTTCACCTTTGGTAGCCGACATGTCGTCCATCTTTATCTACAGTAATGTTCATGACACACAAACTAACGTCATACCAAGGCTCCCTCTGCTGGAAGAGCTGACGTCCTGCAGCAGAGCGCCGCTGCTCTTTGATCTGATGTTCCTCCATGACGGCCCCGAGGAAGAGGAGGAGACCGAAGGCTTCTTCACGGCACACTCCCTGAAGGAAGACGGAAGGATCACTGTCATTCTGTAGTATTTGTCTTGTGTACTTTGGACTTGGGCTGCAGTCGTAATTCACCTTTAACACGATGACATGTGTCAGTCATGTAAAAAACAAATCCATTTCCAGTTGTTTCTTCATTTAACTGGAAATACTTTTTAGTTTTGTCTCTGTGACTCTTGCGTGACAGATTTGAATCGTACCCTAGTTCCAGACCTCTTCCCCGCGTGTTTGGAAAAAACAACAACTGAGCCAGTCACACCTTCGTAGGCGGCATTAGTAATGGAACATCACAGTTTAGTTCCCGAGCTGGAAAATGATGATAAATTGAAAAGTGAGTAGGAGGCGGACTTAGCTGCACAGCTGTGTAAATAAACTAAACTCATATCAACTGATCATATCAGCAACGACTTTTAAATATTTCTTCCCCGGAGACGGTTACGTTATGATTTCTGTTTTTACAAGTGTGAGATAAATAAAGTTTGCTTGCGTTGTAAATACTGGTTAGATAGGAATCAGAAACAGCTTCTACCAGCATGTAAACATGAAAATAAGAGTTACATCTAATTATCAAGATAATTTCTGTATTTACCAGAAGAACATGTGTTGAATCTGATTTAAGATGAAACAACGAGTCCATTTTTTGTGCAAAGATTTGCTGCTTTTCTTTGTTTAATGTGTTTGTTTAATTACTCTCTGGTTTTATTCTGTGATTTGAACAAACACTTTTGTTACTGGGACATTTTTCCACTTAACTGATGATGAAACTTTCAGTTGAATGAAATGAATCTGAATAATTAACACTGAAGGTCTAAATCAGGGGGAGAGTGAAAGCTCACCTGTCTCCCAGGTTCAGGTCCAGGCTGACCGGGCTGCTGCTGTTCCTCTCGCTGCTTTCATATCCGCTCTCCATCCTCTGGATCAGCCTGGGAGGGGGAGGGGGAGGAGGAGGCAGCTCTGTGACACCTCCACCTCCTCTGTGGCTGCTGCCGGCGGTGGGGAGAGTCCAGGAGGTGCCGGGCCTGACAGACATCACCTCCTGCGGGGCTGGGAAGGAAGCGTCCGCTCCCTCTGAGGCTGGAGCTGCACAGTCGTCGGGCTGGGAGGCTCCGAGCGGGCTGTACCCCACCTGCCTTCTCCGAGTGAAGATGCTGTCGATGTTGAGCACCTCCCTCCGGGGCTTCCATGCTGGCCGGTATCTCCCCGACCCCGTTCCTCCAGAGGAGCTGGACTTGGACTCGCTGCTGGTGCTGTCGGCCTCCCAGTCGAGGGGTATGTTGGAGGAGGAGGGTGCGGTGTTGGCGGCAGGTTGGTGGCGGCCGTTGGCAGAGGAGGGGATTTCAGACGAAAGGACGGCGGCAGGTAAAGAGGTGGATGATGAGGAGGAGAGGGGTCGGCTGTGCAGGATGTTGCTCATGGTCTCCTTGAAGTCTCGCAGGCGATTGGTTGAAGATGAGAAGGAGGATGAAGGTTTGGGGAGTTGACGAGGAACCTGCTGCTCTTTCAACGTCTCTCCTGTGGGGGGAGGAGAGAGAGGAAGAGGAAAAGATTTACACAGAGGCAAGGAATGAAATGAAGAAGAGAGAGAAGGTAAAGAGGAGGAGAAAAGAAGGGAGTAAGAAAGAAACAGGAACAAGTGAGAAAAATTTAATGAAAAACAAATCATGTGAAAATGAATGAACAATGTTAATGACACTAAAATAACATGAAACTAAAAACAAAGCAGAATTTCTCCGCCTTTACCCAGACTCCCCTGTTTTCACTACGTCTGCTCTGCTTTTTATTTCCTACGTCTTAAACGTTTCTACATTTCCTGTGACTTTTCATTTCAAATCTTTAGACTGATTCAGATCTTTTTTTTTGTCCGACAGAAAAACAAGATTACTGCACAAATTGTATAACGAAAACGATTTTGCTTCTTGTCTTAAAATATCAGTTAAATTATAATAAAAAACCTCATGAATAATGTACACTGAGTATTTAGAGGGGGCTGTAATAAATTGACAATTTGATTTTTATACTATTTCATATACTTTAATAAAAGTCAACATTTTTTGTTTTTTTTATTGTGAAATGTGCAATAAAAAATGTTTTCAGAACTTTAGCATCAAAACTCCAGGATCAGTTTTATTCCAAGTCACATTTTTAATAGTTCCACCCAGCAGTTGGCCTTCTGCCCTGTGATTGGCCCCCGGCCCGCCTACCCTCGCTGTGGTACCCGGCTGACGAAGCTTCGTTGTCGGGTTTAGATCGCCGGGTGCGGCTAGAGCTCCGCCTCCTATCCCCGGCCCCGCCTCCCTTCCTCAGAGACTGGCGCTGCTCACTGTCCGTCACGTGGCCTTAGCAACGAGAAGCATGGCAACGGATGTTCAAAGCACGATCACCACGACAGGCAGCACAGACATGACAGACGTAAAAGAAGCGGCGTGGCCGAGCGTGATCGGGTCAAATCTCATAAGAGTTCTTCTTCAGCACGAAACACGTGTTTGAACAGAATGAATGGTGTGTTATCAGAGAGATGACGGAGCTGAGCCCTGCTGTGATTGGATAACAACATGCAGGACAACAGCTGATGGTCAAACACAAACATTGTGACTCGCTGTGTGACAACAGCTGTATTTGTATTCACCTATGGTATCCAGGCTGCAGAGCGAGGCGTGCAGGGCTCCTTCTGGGCGTTCGATGCAGATGACGGTTCCCTGGGAGTCAGATGAGTAGTGACTGGCCAGGGACTCATGGTGAGAGTGGGAGGGCTGTCGGCACGAGTAGCTCTCCGTCGACGAATCGGTGCGAGTGTCGCTGGAGATTGACGGCTCCCGGCCTGTCCGTGTGGGTAGGAGGGAGGTCGCCGTGTCAGACGTGACGTGAAGTAAATTCACGCAGACACAAGTATACAGCATCCTATCAGATACTCCTAACCTCACTGCTGCTACAAGTACTACGACGACAAGTACGACAGCCACAGCAACGACTATTTCTACTGTTCTTCTAGTTACCCCAGTCTGGTCTGTCATAGTACTACTACTACGACTAGTACAAGTACTATTGATTCTGGTTTAGTTACCTGAACGTTTGCTGTCGTGCTACTACTACGACTCCTAGCTGTGTTGTAGTTACCCGAGTCTTCGCTGTCGTAACAGGCCTTGTTGAGGTGGTGGAGGTCGAGACGTGAGGGCAGGTCCTGCACCGACACCGGTGTCCCCCGGGGGTCAGCGTACAGCAGCAGCAGGGGCTGGTAGTGTCCCTTGATGCAGCGAGAGACCACGTCCTTCCACTTGGGACCAATCTGAGTAAGTGGAGGAGACAATGACTCAAAAAACTGAAGGACGTTAACTTTGTACAAAAAAACTTTGCCTAGAATTCAACGTATGCGTTTTGCCATGTCAATAAGAGATACCGCTCTGTCTCACCACTCAATGGTGCTGGATGGAGGCCGTGTTTTTGTCAGACAGTCGTTTGTCGCTTCCAACTAACTTTGCTCCCGACAGGCTCAGCGAGAAGTACTCGTCAACTTAAAGCCACTTGTTAAACTTCCATAGAAAAACGTAAACTTAACCAGAGACAGACCAAAAACCCTCAGTACAGAACTAATACTCTCGTTCTTGGCGAAGTTGAGAATTTTTTAAACTCTGGTGATAAAAAAAGAATTTCTGATGTTTTCAGACACTGGTACAGTAAAGACAAAAAAATCAAATCAAACTCAAAATCACATGTTTTCAAACAGCAGATGTTGTAATTTAAAAAAACGTCCTGCATCAAACTAGCCACTGAAACTGGAAAGTAGCTGGTGGAGTTTACCAGCTGCAGTCAGGACGTCCCCGTCGACTCGGAAACACGACTCAGTCGGAAATCGAAACGTTGGAGCGTGAACCGTCCGAGGCCTTCAGTCTGTTTCTCTTATCGTGCGTCAGAAAATCCTCCCATTTGCTATTTCAACCCTTCCTCCATTTTCCAAAAGTCCATGTACACCCACAGCTCTGCCCGGATCTAACAGGACGTCCCGAAACTCAAAATACTGACACGACCGTCAGCCATGTGTGGTTACGAGTGTGTGTGTGTGAAAAAATGTGTGTTTGTGCAAGAGAAAGAGATAGAATGAAAGTCTGCAGTGTGAGCAAAAGTGTCGGCTGTGGTGGGATGTGTGTGTGTGTGTGTGTGTGTGTGCGCTCTGACCACACCCTCAGTTCTATCCAGCTGGACTGATCAACAATAGAGGGATATCCTTGTTTTCACAACCAGCAGAGAGGCGAGCGACAGAGAGGGAGAGCGAGGGAAAGAGATCTCTCACTCCACCCGTGTTATTATCACACAGCAATGATAGAAAAGAAAGCAAAAAGAGAGGAGGAATGAAATCAAGCAAAGGAGGAGAAAGAGGAGGAGGAGGAAGAAGAGGAGGCAGAGCAATGAGAGAAGTGCAAGGATGGACAGGAAGAGAAAGAGGTCACTTACTACATGAGGTCATTTCCTTTCCTTTAACTGCCTTTTTCTTTCATTTTCACAACACACACACACACACACACACACACACACACACACACACACACACACACACACAAAGATCAGATATGTCTCCTGGAGACGCTTTGACACCTGCACCGAACCCTACATCATCTCCTGACATGTTCTGGAGGTTCTGTGTGTGAGAACATCAACGTTCCAGTCACTTGCTTATTTTTTATTTTTTTAACTTTTATTTTTTGGATCTTCTCCTGCAGCCTCCGCGGTGATGAGGTTTCTAACACGTATAACTGGAAGAACACAAATCTCTCAGGATGAAGAAAAGAAGAAGAGGAGCCGTACACGTAGAAGACGAAGACGAAGACGTCAACTTGGAAAGACGAGGACATTCCAGAGCCGACCTCGTTGTGGACGAGCTGTAAACAACAACACTGATCTTTCCACAGGAGAATGTATGCGTCATGTCCCGCCTCCTGCTGCTCTACAGGCTCCGCCCCTCGCCTGAACGTTCCCCACGTTTACAATCTCACTGACATTTTATTTCAGGAAAAATGTCCAGACTTCAGTTCATGTCTGAAAGCAGCTGAAGTTTCCTCTGACAAATTGTTCCTCTCACTTCTGACACAAAGGATAAATAATCTTCTCTTCCTAGAATCTGAAATCCCTTTTACGTTATTCTACGTTATTAGTCGGTGATAAACTGTCAAACTACGTAACGAGAAGCTTTCTCGCTGCATTTTATGTCACGTTGATGTGCAGCCATCGTCCCTGGTCGGGGAGTTGAACAGGGGACGTTGCAGATCAGTGATGCCTTCAAATCCCCAGAGACAACTGGAGGTTTCTGGTTTCTTATCAAATATTATCAACTTGTCACGCGGACATGGTGCGCTGCTGAATGTACCTCTTTGACGTGTGCGTCATCAAAGTACATCCATCGCCGGATCTTTGTCTGGAAGAAGAAGGTGGAGTAATGTTTCCCGTAGTAACACACCATACCGACCAGGTAGAGCTCCGACTGACGGGCCTTCTCCTCCGTCACTCTGTAAAACAACTGCACAGAGCAAAACGAGAGAAGACGATCAGGTCCACATCTACTTCTTCTTCTTCTTCTTCTTCTACAACTATCCTTCATCTTCTTACATCACCCAGACGCAGGCAGGTCCCCAGGGTGTGAATGACGTCCTCAGCCAGGTCTGAGTGATCCGAGTCCCAAACCAGACCGATGGTGATGATCTCCGGACTGTTGAGGAGGACACGAGCAATCCTGAGCTGCTGCCCGCACTGACTCTGAGGAGCAAGGACCGAGCACTCGATTACACTGACATGAAACTAATCCTATTTGAACGAGGAAAGATTTAAATTTAATACATGACAATGAGTTATCGTTGAGTCTTACAGGACAGCTGCGGAGGTCTCCCATGCTGGCGTTACGCAGCAGCTCGCCGAACATGCCGGGAGTCGCCCTCTCCCTCGACTCCAACATCTTCACCGCCTGGTTACTGAGGATGAGGAGATGAAATTCTTTTAACACATTTTTTATATCATCAAACTAATAAAACACACAGGTAAGCATTGACCTGTGTGTGTGTGTGTGTGTGTGTGTATGAGAAAGAACTCAGGAGCCTTGATGAAGGTAGTGATTAGTCTGTTGCCTTGGTGACCCCCCCCAGTGTAACCAAGCATCAGGAGTGTGTGGCCTTAACTCACCTCGTCTGAGATGAGAGCTGTTACACACACACACACACACACACACACACACACACACACACACACACACACACACACACACACACACACACACACACACACACA